TTAAAATTACAACAACAAATAGGCTCGCTCTGCTACCGGACTAGCTTGCTCAGGCCAACGCACCGCGTTGAAAATTGAACTCAATTAAAATATTTGAGTCTAAAAGTTAGCTAATGCGATCCAACTGTAGGACAGTTTTGTTGTTTGATTTAAGCTTGTTTACCTTTCTTAATTTAAACCTCAACATTTAAAAATATATAAAAAATTACAATTTGGGGAAATGAAACGATTGAAACCGTTATCTAGCATGCAGGAAAGCGAATGTTTACTTGTAATTCGGATGACAATAGCAATCTGCAGATTATTGGTTGATGATATTTTACAACTTACCTTACCGTTACCTTACGATACATTAACTTGACCTTCGTACACCACCCCAAATACCGCGCATTTGAAGTGGATTGAACTTCGACTGCTAATTTTGAGCATTCCTCTTTTATTGTAATGCACAATCACCACAAAGACAAAAACTATTTGCAGTTTAGAGGAGAGTCTTTTCTGCAATATTTACTGTAATTATTCGCAAGGACAGCAGCAAATGATTCTAGGAAATTTATTGCCTTCTTGATCGCAAGACAATTTCATTGGTGCATTACATTATAACAATCAGCAACTTATAAGCGAAATTATCACAACCCTAACCCCAAGGGAAGGAGTACTCACGCTTTAGGTGATGTTTAGCAAAAAACTGACTTCTTCCATCTATCAAATTAAGATTGATGCCTTATTTTTAATTATCCATAACACGATCACTATCATGGCATGTCTCTTCTTGGTACATTTGCACATTTTAAGGAGTACCTCCTTACTTTACAATTTTCCTTGTATCATTTAAAGAGGGTTGAGGTGATTCCTTGAGAAGTGTCTGTAAGGAAGAGTAGTTTTATCGCGATATTTGCCAGAATAGGTGACAGTTGGTAGTATAGACCTGTGGATGGAATGATCGATGTGTATCAGGGAAGGTGGGTAAGGAAGCGAGTAAATATATTGGATTTGAAATAAGACAGCACCTAATGTAGATGAGGTCAAAAAATTGTCAAAATTAGGGGCTGTCTGCGAATCTCTCCCTGACTGTTGCAAATAGATAGGTGGAAGAATAGCTGGATGCTTTCATATTAATGAAATTGAATCAGCTTTGATCTGAGCAAACTTATGGACTACTCACAAGTCGATTAGTACAGAGTCTTTTCTTTACTAAGTGATACAAATCTGCTCAGGCATGTTGGGTTATGTGAATTTGAACGTGTTGGGGAGTTGGAGGTATTAACAATTGATGATATGGTATCAACAGAGCATTCGAAATTTTAGACAACAAGCGCATCCGATTTTGCAAGAAAACGCCTACTGAGCACCATTTAGTAGCGTCTATACTCTATCATGAAGTCACAATAGCTGCCGAGGTCGCTCTACTCTTGCATTAGTTTTCTCAAGACAACGCATTAAGTTAGAAGTTGAGCCCAAACCAAACATATGAATCACTTTGCCAGCTTGGCAAATGGATCCGCGTCGGTAGCGCGTACCACAGCATATTGCTAAGCAGATCTGCATTATATAGAGGCACCGAAATAGCACGACCAATGCAGTGGTAGTGAAGTAAGTCTTCAAACACAAGGGTGTCGCCAACGGTGTCTGTCGATTCAATTGGGATGTGGGTTAGTTGATATCTTGTGGCAAACACAACTCAAGAATGCATTGTATTGCGTAATAATTTGGGAGGGAATTTGTCATTACGGTGTCAGGATGTGTAACTCATCCCATGCGGCGCTTTGTGACTTC